TCGATTAAAATCGTTTTCTGTAACAAATTTCGATTCTTGTGTTTTTTAAATCCTTGTATATATTACGTAGATCGATTTCTCTATAATACCAAAAAAAAAGTTTTTTGATTTTGTAACATTCAATTTCGTGTTGAAATTTCTGGGTTTTGAGAAATTTGTAATTGGGTTTCTTCAATTTCGTGTTAAAATTTCTGGGTTTCGAGAAATCTCTTCATTTTCTAGGGAAAGTTCTTCATTTTCTCGAGAAATTTTCTGAAAAGTTTCGATTTTTGAATCAAAAACCAGAGAGCTTCAGCTTCTTCAATGGTGGTATCAACAACAATAGCTCTTTACGCAAGTCCACCAAGTACTGTATGTTCCACAGCACACCAGATCAATTCTCATATCTCTTTCGATCTCGATCTAAACACAAGATCTTCATCTTCATCTTCTTCAACATCGTCTCCGACAATCGGAGGTCTCTCTCTGCTTTTCTCCGGTGGATCTATCAAATCATCATCTTCTTCTTCCTCATCGCACCAAACCGAAGAACTAGCTTCAATACGCCATGATCGAAGCGAAGATCGGACTTTAAGTGGATCATTCTGTTATTCACCGAGCAAATTCATTGGCTCTTCTTACCTTAAACGAGACCACCAAAGCCCTGTCTCTGTTCTTCACGGTCCGATTTCATCTAGTAATAGTCCTCCGACGATGAGAATTTCAAGAGATCGGCACTTAGATGGACGTGTAGGAACTAGTAGATTGTTCAATGGTTTTGTAAGGAAAGCTTTAGGATCTTGTGTTGATTACGACACAGATTCTGTTCTTGTTGATGAACAGTTGCCATTTACAATGGATGATGAAGGAGAAAGAAGATTACCATATGCTAGAGATTTGCTTAGAAGAGCTCAATTGAAACACAAAATCTTCGAAGATGAATCGGTGATTAAAGCGTTTTACGAAGCAGAGAAAGCTCATAGAGGACAGGTATAAAGAAGAAGAAATGTCACAAAATTTTGGATTTTTTGATTTTGGTTTTTTAGTGATTGATTGATGTGTGTGTTTGTTTGAATCAGATGAGAGCAAATGGTGATCCTTACTTGCAACATTGTGTTGAGACTGCAATGTTGTTAGCTAACATTGGAGCTAATTCGACCGTTGTTGTAGCTGGGATTTTACATGATACTTTAGATGATTCATTCATGAGCTATGATTATATTGTGAGAACTTTTGGATCAGGAGTTGCTGATCTTGTGGAAGGGGTAAGTAACAAACAAAACCATGAATGTGTCTTTAAACTAAAGCTGGTTAATGGTTTGAGACTTGAGAGAGATTCTGATTGAGTTTTGTTTTGTCTTGTTATTGCATTTAGGTGTCTAAGCTTAGCCAATTAAGTAAACTTGCTCGGGAAAACAATACTGCGTGTAAAACCGTTGAAGCAGATCGTTTGCACACTATGTTTCTTGCAATGGCAGACGCGAGAGCGGTTCTTATTAAGTTAGCTGATCGGTTACATAACATGATGACGCTTTACGCTTTGCCACCGGTTAAGCAGCAAAGGTTTGCTAAAGAGACTCTAGAGATATTTGCGCCTTTGGCTAATCGATTGGGAATCTCTAGCTGGAAAGTTGAGCTTGAAAATCTATGTTTCAAGCATCTTCATCCTGACCAGCACCACGAGATGTCCGGTATGCTCGAGGATTCGTTCGACGAAGCTATGATCACTTCTGCGATTGAGAAATTGGAGCACGCGCTTAAGAAAGAAGGCATTTCGTACCATGTTCTTTCTGGGAGGCATAAGAGCTTGTATAGTATCTACTGCAAGATGTTGAAGTAAGTTCTCATTTCCTCTTTACGTGAATGTGCATGTTGGTTTATTGGTTTCACTGAGATAATGGGCAGAACCGGGATACTGATCTTGTTTACGCTTCATTTATTACCAGGAAAAAGCTAACCATGGATGAAATTCATGACATTCATGGGTTACGTTTGATTGTTGACAATGAGAAAGATTGTTACAAGGCCTTGGGAGTAGTTCACAAGCTATGGTCTGAAGTTCCTGGAAAGATGAAAGATTACATTTCTCACCCCAAGTTCAACGGGTAGGTTCTGCAAACCCGTCATAGCGAGTAGTTCATAAGCTATGGTCCTTGCTTCTCTGCTTTTTTCTGACTTTGGTTTTCGAAACTTCAGGTACCAATCTTTGCATACTGTAGTGAAGGGCGATGGAACCATTCCGCTCGAAGTTCAAATACGTACAAAGGAGATGCATTTGCAAGCTGAATTTGGGTTTGCAGCTCACTGGAGATACAAGGAAGGTGATTGTAAGCACTCATCATTTGTGCTTCAGATGGTTGAATGGGCAAGATGGGTTGTGACCTGGCATTGTGAAACCATGAGTAAAGATAGATCCTCGATCTGCTCTTCCGAGCCCTTGTGTAGTTTCCCGTCTCACGCTGAAGACTGTCCGTTTTCTTATAAGCCTAATGGTAACCAAGAAGGACCAGTCTATGTGATTGTAATCGAAAACGACAAGGTCAGTTACATAAATGTCCTGCACATTCTTCTCCTTGGGGATGTTTCTTTGCTTGAAATTATAATTTGCTAAACCCGAAAAATGCAGATGACCGTGCAAGAGTTTCCAGCGAGTTCCACATTCTCTGACCTTTTAAGCAGAGCAGGACCAGGAAGCTCGAGATGGTCAATGTACAGCATCCCGGCAAAAGAAGAGCTAAGGCCAAGGCTAAACCAGACACCTGTAAGTGATCTGAAATGCAAGCTGAAGATGGGAGATGTAGTGGAGCTGACTCCAGCCATACCTGACAAGTCTCTGACTGAATACAGAGAAGAGATTCAGCGGATGTATGATCGAGGGCTCGCTTTTTCTCGACCTCACCGTGCAGCTGCTGGTACCATGGTTGGCTGGGGAAGCTAACAGATTCTCCTAGTGAAAACCAGATCTCTGTACTTTATATATTTATTATATAGTAATGCTTCATAAGATTTGTTGTACTTTGGTCTTGTTATTTCCCACAAAATTGTGTATGTATATATGCACATATAGTGTATAAAAAACTGACTCTTGTCATTAATATTTGATTCTATTACATTCTTCTTCTTGATACATGACAACATTTAAGAGTTTTTGATTTGTGTCTCTGCTTATTTGGGTCGTCTAGAAAGAGGGAAAGAAACTCTTTGAGGAGTTTGGTCTGGAAGCTCTAATGCTAGTAGTTGCTGTGGTTGCTGCTGTTCCTGAGATGACTGTCCAGGATCAGTCATTTCTTCATCGTCTTCGGTTTCTTCGGGTTCTGTTGAAGCTGACTTCTTTGGTATAACGAGCTGGTAGTTTGGGCTAAGCAATGTATCATGTTCAGGGGGAAGAGGAACACCGGGTCCTGATATCGATTTCGGCAAAGGGATTTTGTTCCTGCTTGCAGCAAGTTCTAGCAGTACCTAAAAGCAAACACCGAAAACACAAAACGCTCTTAAAACCATTAAGATTCAGAATCCAAAAGACTTGAAAACATATGAAATGATGAATACAAATCTATCATGATTTTGGTAAAAGCAACTTATATAGTAACAGGGTTATTGTTCACAAGTCTAAAGCAAAAATTTCGATCACTCACTATCCAATTACTAAAACTCTCGTAAAGCCATTGCGATTCACAATCCAAAAGACTTGGCTTTTGTAGACTGAAACATTTGACATGACGAATAGAAATCAATCATGTTCTTAGTGATGCAACTTATATGGTGACAGGGTTATTGTACATAAGTCAAAAGCAAAAATTTCGATCGCTCACTATCCAATTACTAAAAATCTCTTAAAAACATTGAGATTCAGAAACCAAACAACATGAATTTTGGCAGACTAAAACCGTTTGACATGATGAATACATATAGATCTTGTTCTTGGTGATGCAACTTCTATGTTATTAATCACAAATCAAAACCAAAATTCTCGATCACTCACTATCCAATGACTAAAACTCCCATAGAGATTCAGAAACCAATGACTTGGATTTAGCATACTATTACTAACACATTAGACATGAACATCGAGAATACAAATCAATCATGTTCTTAGTGATGCAACTTGTATATGGCAACAACAAGGTTACTGTTCACAAGTCAACAGCAAAAATTTCGATCATTCGCTATCTTCATGTAACAATCTCAATAACAAGAAACAGAAACAACAATGCTCTCTATATACATACCTCTCTTGGAGGTGGCTGTGAGAAGCTGAAATTAACTTTGGATTGAATAGCGAGCTTCACATCATCACAATCAATGGTTGATTTACTAGCATGTTCTGAGTAAACCTGAGCATCAGTCAACACTTCAACCACATATCGATACCATAACTCGAGAAACTGATGTATCACACGAGGCTCGTAATCCTCAACACCCATCGACTTAAGCAGAGATTTCACAATCTTAGCATCTCTAGGTACATCTTCTTCTCCTTCTCCAGACATGATTTCCCCCTTGAAACACACAAAGAAAAGTTTTCAACTTTTACCGAAAAGTCTCAATCTTTTCACTCAAAATTCGACCCCAAAACTAGCAAATCTCGAAACTAACAATACTGAAAAAAGTTTCAATTTTTAAGATACATTTATCAAGCAAATTTC